ACATTTAACATTGTATTTGTGTTATGAATGAGTTCCAACTAAATTTACATTAATTTTAAAGGAATAATGAAGAAATTTGGTTAAGAATTGAGTAAGATACAGAGGAAAGTGTGTGCTCACTGTATGAGACAGTGAGCTCAAGGTGTGGCAGGTGGGGAGGGCACAGTTGCCATATAGGGCACTCAGCATACTTATTTTATTTTATTTTATTTTATTTTGACTTTACTATTTAAGTCTAGTATTAAGTACAGTTAGGGAGAAAAGCTCAAAAGGTACCTAATTAGAGGGACTACAAGGGTCTTGTACACCCTCTAATTAGGCCCCTTACAGTATGTCCCTCAGGTGGTAAGACCAGGCTTCGGAAATTCTAAATCACACTTTATAAACTCTGCACTGCCACGGATATATCACACTTGGCTTCAGTATTAATGATCGAAGACGGAGGTCCCTGATACGTACAGCACATGCAACTCCGGGATGCATGTGCCTGCTGCAGGTTACGCTCCCAATGAGAACTTGACTATTCAAACACTGTCCGAGACATAGAACCGAGTAAATCGGATGTCAATGTGGACGAATCACAAACCAATCACAAACCAATGGTTATGAAAAGGATGAATGCAAGAAGAATCGACTCGGAGGCGAGAATGGCGGAGGACTGCAGTGTACCATATGTTGACAGAGGCAAGCATTGGAAACTTACAAATGCTTTCATACATACAATTTCGATGCTTACAAAAAGTATAAAAAGACGAACCGAATTCAAGCTCGACTAATATTGCTCAAGCCTTTTTCTCTGGTCGTCAGTTACAACACTATGCGTTCCAGGATCCTGATTGCTCTCTGCTCTGCTGCTTTTGTCTCTGCTCACGGTGTATGGTCCAATACTCCATTAGCGGTACATGGTACAATGGGTAAGATACCTTCCTTTGTGCTGGATTGTATGCCAAGCAATGGTTTGATGCCTTCTCAGCTTCAGGGCGTATAACACACCGACGGGCCAATCGACAATTCAACGCCAGTGGGCGACATACGAGTGAGTAATATACGGTTATTACCAAGGTGTATATGTTTAGTGATGAATCATACTCAGGCCCATTACGGATCCTACAGCTTCCACCATCGCCTGCAATAATCCCGGTACAACGACTGACCCCCAACTTACCGCAACAGTTGCTGCCGGCACTCCGATCACTGCTTACTGGAACAGTCCCTGGCCTCATTCCATAGGACCCATGATGGTCTACATGGCCGTAAGTCTGACTTTCTACGTGCTAGGGGAATGGATGCTCATATAAGGCATAGTAAGAACTGCGGGGGCAACTGCACTAGTGCAGATCCGACTTCTCTCAATTGGTTCAAGATCGACGAGTCAGGTCTCATCAATGGCACCGTTGCTAATGGCTTCTGGGGTTCTGGATTGATGATTCAACAAAACTCGTCGTGGACCTCGACAATCCCGGCCGCCCTCCCGAGTGGAAGTTATATTATTCGGCACGAGACGCTTGCACTTCACACGTCGAACCAGCCACAGTTCTATATGGAGTGTGCGCAGCTTACAATTACGGGTGGCGGTAGTGGAACACCTGTGAGTAGTGCTTGGTTTCTTAAGAATGGATAACTTACTGTGTCGTGGTTCTGTGCAGTCTCCAACTGTCAAGTTCCCTGGTGCATATAGTATGAACGACTCGTCTATCAACATTGACGTGTATTCTTCTACTGCGACTACCTACGTGTAAGTGTCGTTCGGGTTTTCCAATGATCCTCGAATCTGACTACATATTTGCTCTATAGTATCCCTGGACCTTCAGTCTGGACTGCCTAAAGTCACCCCAGGTGGATGAATCATGGACAGCCACGGCTGTCGAAGCATTTTAAACCCCACTCACTGATCATTACTCAAGATAGTCTTTGTAGTAACTAGTCTTTGTAGTAACTAGTCTTTGTAGTAACGCTGCAAGAATGCGTGAAAGTCGATGGTCTTCCTTATTTCCCAAAGGATGTTGCACATTGGCGAAACTCCAGGCAGGCAAATCCGCCATAAGAGAAATTGAGACATAAATTATTCGATAGAAAGTAGTGAGATCACCAGTTGAATGTGGGTGCTTCTTGACTACCGGCACGGTCGCCGGTGCAAGGTGTTCGGTATTGCCCGCGGTGTGGCTCTGCAAGGTTTCGCGGAAAGCTTAAAGGGAACTTTGTATGCTCTGCACTGTCACGGATTTCTGGAATGACTGAACGAGTCGAAACAGTTGGTTCCTATGCCAACCTTGGGCACCTGAGTCCGAACACATGACTTGGTGTGGCGTGAACGCACTTGTAGCAAGTAGTACAGTGCTTCCCACCTCAGCGCGGTGTCATTTTCAGAACGCCACGGAACAGCACAGGCTCGGAAGTTGAGTGCTCGGGGAAACGGATCCGTTTAAGAAATGGCCACAATTTTGATACCTTACACAAGTACGGTGCTTTATCAGTTTACACCGAAGGCTGATCTGGCAAGTGCATGCACGCCTGAACAGTAAATTATTAACTTACCATTTTTTGAGAGCCTTGCCAGCTTAACAACGCGTGCGGCATGAGCTCGCCATAACACGGTATTCACGATAGGCCGGGTCGAAACGAGCGTAGTGGACACGCTGAATGATTCGGGTAAAGTCGGGGGTACAACGGGGAAACGGAACAGAAATCGTAAACAAGGCTTACTGCCGTACATTGTGTCACCACACTATTATTGCAGCATTTTGGAGTTGAGATGAGCGCCACCTGTTGTGCAAAGCAACTTCGGCATAGAAGTAAGGTCCGGGATCTAGCCAGGCCATGAAGTCCTGTAGAAGCAATGGTATAGGACTCCATAAATAATAAATTCGTGTTTGCAGGGAATTGGGTCAGCATTCAGATTGCCTGAGGGACGCAGTTGCTTTCGCGTGGGAAATTTCACCAAATAAAATGATCGGCGATCGGACAGACAATCGTCATGGTCACGTGGTTTTGATTCGCCACTTCCTTCTCCACGACGCAACTCCGGTCTCGCGATGAAGATAATGGATCTTGCACCCCGACCATCACCAGTCCTCACTTGATCCCCCATACGACGCGATGACCAGGTATTGGTCAGAAGTAACGCGGCACCTCAACTTTTTTCGTATACACCTGCTTTTCTTGTCAGCAAGAGTCTTTCTGACTACTCCGCTTCGAGCTTCGCACTGACAATCAGAACTTTGCAGCATTTTCTCTCCTCTGATATTCTCCGCCATATTTTATGCTGCCAATGGCCAATTTCATATCTCTTACATCGATGCACTTTTCAATTGCGTTAGCGCCTCTGTCGTATGCGGGCTTGCCACTGTCGATTTGAGCTCCCTTACCGGCTTTCAGCAGGCTCTGCTGTTCATACAATCAGCTCTGGGAACGCCTGTGGGTGACGATCGATAAATTTCTTCTTTTGAAGCTTACCGTGAACACCAGGTCCTAGTGTCATGGGTGATGGTCTACGTTCGTAGGTGAGCTATATAAGTTGCTTGGTAAAAACTTGGCACATCAACTTACATGTGACAAAGGCAATATTTCGCCAAAAAATTCCAAGACCTTATACAGGCAGAGATCGAAAAGGGAAAGGCGGCTGTAGAACATGGACATACTGAGGGAAGACCATCCGTAAGCCAGAGGTTTTCACGGGTGTTCACTGTGCGAAGTGGACAGCTGACTACGAGGGAAAGAAGCGATAAGACGAGTGCAGGTGAAAAAGAAGGGAAGAAGAAGCGACTTGGGCTGTTCACGAAGAAGACCCTTAGGAAGCTTCGACCGGACATGATCAGCCGAATGGACGATGCGCCGAAGCGTGTCGACCCCAGTGGCTGGATCTCAGAGGAACCTGGACCTGAAGGACACGTACATGTCCCTCGGCCTCGAGCAGCGACAGTATCTGTAGGAGAAGTCCAAGAAAAGACGTCCAAAGAAACCACTCCCTCGGAAAAAGAGGCAGAATACACACCGTGAGTAACACTAGATGGTCCTCCTTTCTGAGTTCGGCTAAACTCTCCCTAGGTCTCCTTTGCGAAACGAAGTTACTTCGAATCCCGAAGGGGTCAATGGTACTTCGAATGGACCGGGAGCTCCTATCTTAGGTCGTACCCCTACCATTCAAGCCGCTAATCCGAGGAGCGGCGTACCTCTTGGTCATTCATTAACTGTAGAGTTCCGAACGCCTGATCGCGAACGTGACCTTCGTGGAAGGAGGATGTCACGGGAGCGGCGTCCATCCATGGTTGAGACTATTTCAAGACAGAGCCCGACGGCTTCTAGAAGACATAGTTCGATGTACGATGTTGTTCACGATGATCGATATCTTCCTCACGGAGGCGTTCCGCTCGCTCGACGACAAACTACGCAGCACACTCAACGATCAAATAGGAGTAATTTTTCCTTTCGTGATGACAGTAAACACAAAGGCTATGGTGGATTTCCTTACCCGACAGACTTGGCGTTGCGGTTTCTTAGAAAAGTGGCTCCTGGTGTCGAGAACAAACTCGTGCGTACCGTGACTATACCAAACACGCGGACGATGTCGACGTACCCGAGTACGGCCAAAAGTACTAAAACGGCACCTTACTTCTCCTTCAATGCTATCATTGGAAGGAATTCCAAGTTCCACCTTCTTACAGAAGAACAGCTTGAGGAACTCGGTGGTGTAGAATACCGCGCTTTGACTGCCCTTTTGTGGATAGTTGCCGGAGTAAGTTCTTTTCACTTACTTGCATGCTCATCAAAGTAATCGGTCTTGGGTACAGTATTATTTTGTGCTGCAGCTTGCTGGTTTCACCATCATCGCACCCTACATGTCCATCCCGAGATGGAAGAATGACTTTGTGCCTCCCGCACTCCATCGACCATTAAACACCGTCTGGTTCTCTGCGTTTCAGGTCGTTTCAGCCTTCACGAACACGGGAATGTCTTTGGTCGATCAATCGATGATTCCGTTTCAAGAAGCCTATCCGATGATTTTCGTGCTTGCGTTCCTCATTCTTTGGGGAAATACTGCATTTGTAAGTTCACATCATCTTAGTTGATGACGACCTCCAGACTTACCATGAGTTTCAGCCCGTTTTGTGAGTCATGAACTTGTTCGTTACCAGCGGAACTAACCGTGCTTTTCCTGATTAGCCTTCGCTTTGTCATGTAAGCTGGTTTTCCTTGCAAGTTGGCGCCTTTCTCTGACTCTTCCTAAGTTGGTGTATATACAAGTGCTCACCATCCAGTTCACGGTTGAACGAAACTCTTCATTTCCTTCTCGACCATCCTAGAAGGTGTTTCATCTATCTTTTCCCCTCTCACCAGACATGGTTTCTCTTGACTGTAGTAGTCTTGCTCAGGTGGGCTTCATTCAACTTGTTAAAAAAATTATTCCAGATTCATGACGTCATTATCTGATTATTTTCCTAATTCAGTTCAACGGACTGGTTTTTCTTCTTGGTTCTGGATATTGGCAACGCTACTATGGAGGCCATTCCAATAGGCGTACGGTTCGCGATAGGATTTCTCCAGGCGTCAGCTGTCCGAGCGGCTGGGTTTGCGACAGTCTCGATTTCGAGTCTGGCACCCGCCGTTCAGTAAGTAGCACAAACAAATAATAGCCTATGGTCGGTCTGACACATTTGAACAGAGCACTCTACGTAGTGATGATGTACGTCAGCATCTGTGTGTAGTAATTTGTTTCATCTGTCTATTTGTACCTGATGAAAGTGTCATATGAATCCATATAGATCCTGTTGCGCTGAGGTAGGATTTACTCCTTTATTTTCCTTGGGTAAGTCGCTAACTCGAGCTACGTAATAGTATTAGGGCGACGAACGTATATGAAGAGAAGTCTCTTGGCGTCTACGAGGAGGAGGACGAGGAGGACGTGGAATCACAGCTTGAAGGACCCAGGACGGCTGTGTGGGGTCAATACCTTGCGCGACACGCTCGGAGGCAGCTTGCGTTCGGTGAGTACATTGCTCCAGTATGCGTCTCGAATGGGCTTCTTATATCCTTGCCCGTTAGATATGTGGTGGCTCGCTTTGGCTGTTTTCCTCCTGTGTATCATCGAGCGTAGTAAAATTCAGGATTCAGAGAATTTTCAATGGTTTACTATATTCACTATCAGTAAGTGTCATTTGTCACTATTTGTTGTATTCGATTAATGATGGAATGATGGCGTGTACTGTAGTCTTTGAACTCATGTCCGCATATGGTGGTGTTGGCCTGAGTCTCGGGCTTCCCTATGTGAGCGCCTTTCTATCTGGCATTTCCTTCCAACCCTTTGCTGATGTTATACAACATCCAGGCCAACTATTCCTTCTCCGGTGCCTTCACACCATTATCGAAGTTAATTGTTTGCGCCGTCATGATCCGCGGTCGACATCGCGGACTGCCGAATGCTATTGATCGTGCTGTCATGTTGCCCTTCGAGTTTAAGAAAGCCACTGGGTTAACAGAAGATGATGAAGATGATGACGGTATGGAAACGAATGGAACGGCTATTGAAAATGAGTACGACAAGGAGGCGAACAGGCCTGAAAGGATCCTTGAGGAAAGTCCTGAAGATACTGAGGATGCCAACCTCGATCGACGATTTACGGATTCTCCGGAACACGACACGCAGACGCCTCGGGCTAGCGATGATTCTCAATCTACACCACGATGAGATAATACACGACCCTTCCTTCTTGTCTCCATTTTTTCCCCTTCTTTCATTATTGGGTTTCGCACTTCGTGATCACATATCTTATATCTACCTATTATTACACCCGCTTGAACATTACCTTGGTAGATATGTCATCCGCACATCCTACGCACCCTACATGATACCACACCTATTCTCCCACACATCCCTGGGCTTGGCGTTGCACATACCAGATAGAGACGGTGATTTGCTTGGTTCATACATACATATCCACTTCGCAGCACTAGTACACTCGATATTTATTAATTCATGGGATATAGAGTGTATAGTAGCACTACTACATCTATAGACTGCATTGTTGTTCGTGTACTCATTCGTTTTGTCATTTCCGATTGATAATGATTGTCTCTATTGCCTCGTCGATGTCGAGCGTTGCGTCGGCAGGTCGCGCTTGATTTTCAAAGATGCATTCTTTTTGTAGGTATAAGAGAACAAACGGATAAGACTTAATTCTATTCATTGTCTTGGGCCTTTAGCCTAATTACACAGAAAGGAACGTCTTTTTGAATTGTTGTATCTTTACTTTAGCGTAAGTCAACATATTTAAAATGAGACAAGTGCATATCAGTTTATAAAACCCTAATGATTTCAGATTTGGAATATAGTTATAGTGACTAAAAGCTTAATTCTCAACAGAAAAGCCAGTTCACATACACTGATTTGTTAAATCAAACATCAACCAACTTAATATGTGTACACTAAGTATGTAGTATAGTACTACTTTTATAATTTTGTACCAGTTTTGATGAGGTACATGTTAATCTTTAGCTTTTACTATATAAGTGAAGTTAGTGAACAAAGAAACCATCAAGATGAACTGGTGCATTTATTACTACGTCCAAAGGTTCTGTCAAATTTGCAAATCGATTCATAAAATATCTCTTGTCAGGGGCCTGTCACTCACCTTCGGAGGTGAATTCGTCTTTACCTAGCAATAAGTGAATAGTTATTGACAGATTACGTACACAAATGCTGTATTTGATAAGGTAGACGAAAGATAAACTCGACAAGCTGTGACAGTAACGTGTCACGGACTCGCTTAACTAATTAGGAAGGACCCTAGCGGCGAAATTTACGAGAGGGCAAGGCAAAAAAAAATATTATCAGTTTTTTTTTGTTAAATATACATCTACATCTTATCTACAGTTTTCTGTAACAGTATATGTGATATGAGTACCTCTTACTGGCTCACTAAGCCTGCTTTCTGTTGAGACGATTATAGGATGTATTAATAATATTACGTAATTTCCGTATATGGGAGGTATTTGTCATAATGTTGTAGCCGAGGGCGGCGAAATTTGACAAGAATTTGCAGAATTTTTTTTTGTGTGTGGCAAAATAACAATCAGGTCATTTAGAGCAAAAAATAGTCTTTTGGAAATAACTTGGTCATTTTTTATTTTTTTGAAAATCTGTTACATCATTCTGTAGAAAAGCATAATTCTAACAATTCTATGGTGCTACTTTGTGGATTTCGGCTCTGTGGTTGAACGAGTTTCCTTGTCATAGTTTGTGTCTGATTTAGGCAGTTCAGGGTAGATCACGTGCGTCACGCAGCTAGTTGAGTTTATGTTTCGTCTACCTTATGAGCATGGTACATTTAGACCGGATTTGGATCAGACGGTGGTGTCACGAGAGTGAGTGCTAGAAACTTCCAGAACTCCTTCTGTTGATGCAATTGAGTTTTACTTCAGTATATGAAAATGCTACTCAGGCGGTTGTCATCTTCTAGCACGACAGACTATCCGAGTACTTAGAAAGTAACACCATAAGTGAGCTCTCATTTTACACTATCCTACACAACTTGTACTACATTGTTGTCCTAATTTCTCTGTACTGTAAGCGATCCAATCATGGGGAAAATAACGAAAGGCAGTCCTATCAAATCCACCAAACCTAGTGGGGCCAAAACGCGATAGAGAGACACAACAATTGGTGCCAGCTCGGAGGAAAAACAAAAAGTAGTGCTATTTTTTTTAACCTTTAAATGTGTATTCACTGATTCAACCCAAGGCAGCGTCCTGCATGCATTAGATAGAGACAATTGCTTGGTTCGAACGTATCCTCTTCGCAGCATGTGCACCGTCAGTATGTACTGACCCGGGAATGAAAACAGAATGTATTTTAATGCTGCTACATCTAAGACTATTGTGTTGTTCGTTATACTTGCACCCTTTCATCTTTCTGATCGGTAACGATGACGTCTGTCAACTCGTCGAGATCGATGGTTGCATCCGCCAACCATGCTCGATCTTCGAAGGCCTTCAAGAAAGCGAAACCTTTTGCACTTCGAGGATTTGAGAATACTCGGACAGAAGGACGGAGGACTTCCTGAGACGTTATAAGGAGGCAAAGTGTCTTTGCTCGACTAATAGCCACGTTGAGACGTCTTCGCTCGAGGAGGAAGTCGATGGCAGTTGATACGTTCCCTGTGTAAGTGTACGAGAATAGACAGATTACGAAAGCAGCTTCTGAACCTTCAGAAAACAAGTAAACACATACTATCAGATACGGTTAATGTTGATTAGCGATAAAGCATACCTTGTAATCGCTCGATTGTATCGACGGTGACATTATCTCTTTCGAAGGTTGACCTGTCGTCCGCTTCGTCCTGCAATTTCAAAGCACCGAAAGCCTCTGAGAGGTCATCCACTCGTGTTTGCAGGGCGTCCTTTACAGCTTGTCGTTGCACTCGATGCGGCGTAGCAACGAATATAGTCTCATCTGGTGCTGCTTCCTGTAGAAGCCGTACAAGTGATGCAGCAAAATTGGCTTCGGCACGAACGTGAGTCTCGTACCCTATCTGATCGGGTGAGCTCGAGGTAACGGATAGTCGGATTAGGGATAAGGAAATGGGTCGCATGTCCAATGCAAGGACGGATTGCTGTTGTTGGTGTTGACGAATTAACTTTGGTTCCGTAAGGACGTTTTGGAAACGACGGCGCATAGCGGAAGAAAGAGCAACGAGAATGTCTCGTGCTTGTGCAAGCGTTGCGTCGTGGGAGGGGACCGAGGATGAGACGAGGCTTTCGAGTTGCTTTGCTACTTTGACATTCTGCGATTTTTGAGGCTTGAAAGATCTCCTGTAGATTGTTGAGACGAAGTCGCCTAAGTCTGGGTTTAGTCTAGATATACGTTGTAAGGAAAACGAACCATCTGTAGGTAGTAGACACGCACCGGAAATTCTCCGTGAGCTGGACGATTGTGCTAACAGTCCCATGGTCATGTGTCAAGGACGTCGTCATATCTGAGTCAGTATAGGCTTTGCTGTATTCATCATCACTTGCGTTGAACATCAGGCATTCAAGAATAGACCCGAAGAGGCGCGATTCAATTTGCGGATATTGAGTCGTTAAGATAGGCGCAAGTTGCTCAGAGTCTCCTGCGACGATGACCCTTCCGGTAATTTCTAAAGATTTTAGAACGAGTGATGCTGGACCCAAACCTAATTGGCCTGCTTCATCAATGACGATGCAATCTGCTTTGATCCTTGTTCGCTTGCAATAGTTGTATAACTGCAATATATTTAGCTGGGAGACGCGCTAATAACGACAAGACTTCATCACCTGATACACAGTTCCAGCAAAAATGTATGTCTTCTCCATATCCGAAGGTGTGGGATGTACCGCGCCAGAAAGCACGCGTTCTAGAGAGATGTTATTGAGCCAAGTGACGTCCATCCCTCGAAAGCTGCTATAACTCTGCATCAACGATTTGAGTTTCGAAACACAGGCCTCAATTGCGGCGTGGGTCATCGCCGTTAAGAAGATGATCTGTCGCCGGGAGCTGGCGTCAAGGGACTTGATCTGGATCAGCCTTACCAGAGAAAGTGATATCGTATATGTTTTCCCGGTTCCTTTAAAGTAACATCATGAGAACTCTACCAATGAGATCTGCGAAGAGTGCACCCACCTGGAGGTCCCCAGATCACAGACAACCTATATTTGAGGATACGATGGAGTGCGTGCTCTTGAGATGGCTTGAACAAAAGTGAATTAGCAGCCTCTTGTCCCAATCCGCTCAGTTCTCTGAACCATCTTTGTATCCTCTTTTCCTCCGCCCAGTACCGTTCTGCAATAGAATCCGATTCGCTCAAGAACTTCGCAAAGGCCTTCGAGTCTGAGAATAACTGCAGGAAGGGTGGCTTCTGCATATAACCTGGATGCGATGGCGTTTGCAAGTCGAGCTCGACAAGCGTACTCAATACTTTCGTCACATTGAAGTCCACCAGTCTCGGTGAGAGTCGGTATCGAGCGTTGGACCTGAGTCGGAGATTGAAATCTCCAAACGTCCGGAGGACGACAAAAGTTCTGTTGTTCCGGATTACCATGTTGTTCACATCTGCCACGAAAAGTCTTTGTTGCACTATAAGTGGCTGCTGGGACCACCTCGATCGCGTATACTTGTTCAGCGGGAACATGAGATTGAACACAGCGAGGTCGTCAAAGAGCGCTTCGATTGGTAATTCTTGATCAGAGTCGACATCTTCTGTTAAAATGTAATCATAGTAAGTTCGATCTCTTTCGGACGAGAGGTCAACATATCCTGATTCCAGGGTTAAGTAGTGCAAGTAGGAGTTATCAGACATGCGGTTCGTGAACTTATATTTGAGTCGCGGAGCCTCAACGCATCCCTCAATACGATCTTGCCATAACGTATTGAGTTTCGCAAGGACCTCAAACTACAGTTTAATGAGTGAGTGCTCCAATGTGGCATTGTCAAGAGTAACAACGTACTTGTTGCATAAAGAATAACTTGCGGAGATGGTCCTGACTACATATGTCCATGAACTCAGACGTCAACACGCGTGCATCGTTGACCAATATATCTGTTTTCCCTGCATGTTCGTCCGATACCCTTTGTCGTGCCTTATTTAGCACTTCATGGATACATGCAGTCCGATCCTGTAGCATCCTCTCATATTCTGCTTGGTGGCTCGCAGCGACAGCGGAGTATATTGCTTCATCACTTGGACAAATGAGCGAACTTGACTTCAACGTCCTGTGACATCCAGGCAGATCCCAATATCCTGGGATCGGTAGCGCTAATAGTTGTTCGATTGCATTCTTCAAGGCTACGACTCGAGGAAGATGGCCTATCTCTGAACGATCCCTCGGATCGCTGTCGTCACCTCCAGCCGACCTTCCAGGGTCCGATCCTTGTCCATTCCTGCCACAGTTCTTCAATCTTTCAAGCTCATCCTGGATGCGTTGTCGCAATTCCTCGTCTGAACCATTTCGATGTGGTAGCCCGAGTCGACGCAAGCATAAATTCAACTCCGCCGTTGAGACTCCTTTCTTGGTAAGGAAACTGAGAAGCGCTCCTGAAAGGACGATTGGCTGGAAAGTCGTCGCGAGTAGCGATGCACCCTCGCATAACGCTCCGATGCAAGTCCGAATCGCATCTTGCACTTCATCCTCGAGCTTGTCGGAAGTGAGTGCAGCGTCAATGAGTGTACGTTGTAATGCTGAGCGCTCTGCCGGGTTGAAGACGTAACATTGCGTTCGCGGAGGACTTGCATGAACTTCACTGAGATCAAGTATGTGCTGGATAACAGAGGCAAGGTCGGGGATGAAGGTCTCCCGTGTGCCACTCAGCGATCCTGGGACGATCGGTGCGTCAATGTTTGTGAACGTTGAAATGCAATATGCGGCGATTTCGTTTGTTGAGGGGTCGAGTACAAGCGAGATGACGATCGCAATGTCCTCTTCTCTAGGTAACGTGAATATCCGCTTGTTCAAAATCTGTTGTTAATCAGACAAATGCTAGGAATACAAGCGCGCATATATTCACCTGAACACGTTTAGTCAATGCTGCATCAAGGACGGGACTCGAGTTGTCTTGAATCTTGAGGATCCGCTTCGCCTTCTTGAATATAGAAGGGTGAGTCTTCTGGATATCCGATGTCCTCGATTTTGGCCTGATAGTCGCGTATAAGTCCTCAATATCTGAGATATGATTCTGCCTGTGTGAGATAGCAAGAAACGTATTCAGGACATCCGCGTCCTGAATAGTGATATTCGCCATTGAACCGAACTCGCCGCCACGGACCGCCCTCTCGGTACACTCGTTTTCGTACGTGCAGCCCCGACATAGTGGATTTAGGTGCCATTTGACCTCGTTCCGTTGAAGTGCTAGAACCTGTGGCAGTTTGTTAAACAGGAAGTCATCCAGAGGCAGAGATAAAAGAGGTGTCGCAATTGACTTTAGATCTTCGAACGATGGTATTGATGTGCGGCCGTATATTGACGGTGGAATCCATACCGCAGCGGTACCCATCGATTTATAGTAAAAGGAAAGGAGGTTCTCCAGGCAGACATGATAAAAGTATATCTGAACATGATGTGATGTCTGCGAGAATTAATCAGATGAGGTAATCCGGTTGAATGACCTCTAACCTTCACTTCCGCTGACGACTTTGCGTCGACAACTTGCCACAAGATTGTCCCATCTTTCTCTTTCTTGATCTCCACAAGGTCAGGCTTTGCGACACCAAATTGAACGGGGTTCCGTCCCTTTGCGCGGAATTTCTTTTCAAAAGCAGATGCTGGTGGAACGAAAGATAATCCAGCCACGAAGAAATGATCCCTCTCATCAATTTCTACAACTTCTTGTATTTCTTCTCCAGTCAGAGAACCACCTAAAACACGTAGCAGGAGATTATTTTCATCCAACCAGGAGAATAGAGTGGATTCCCATCGATCTCCGCGGGACAGAATTGCTTTCGTGAGCTCTGAAGGTGTAGGACGCGATCGCGCTCCATTGGATCTGTAGCTTTCCGAACCATGATAAGAATTACACAGGAAGAGATCGCATTGTAGATGATGATGAACCGCGAGTGTCGTCGCGGAGATAGTCTTCTTTCGAGGCCCTTGGGACATCTTGAACTTGAACTTTACAACGGAGAGCTGTGTCAGGTGCCTTTATAGGAAACGGCCTCGTGCCACATGGCGCATTGAGAAGAGAAGAAACCTGACTCAAATACGGTGAGAATTGCGACTGTTGTTCTCCATTGCCATTGGAGATCTGTAGATAGAACGGGTCAGAAGGTACACGTAATCAGCGTCTAAGTAGAGAACCCACATCTATGTAGCCATTGGTACACAACAGTCGTCCTGCTTTGGAATGTCTTTACAATTCGGGAATAGTTGATGCATATCTGATTTTGGCAATTGAAAGGTAAACAATGATTGGTATATTTGTAATTGGTAGACTGCTTGTTGAAATTCATAACCAAATCGTGATGTCATGGTCATATAGTGTCGTAAATTACTAAAATCCCTTAACCTCTTTCGTCCCAACTTCATTACCAGAGCTATCAATACTGCAGGAAATACGTATAAATGAACAGTAAAATTGTCTTGATGAGAAAACGTACCGCGTCCATAACTTGCGGCTGACACCGCAGCATCCGCACACCGTTATCGACTGCAGAATAACAACAATCCAAAGGAAGATAGTTGCGACTAAACTCATCCACGGTGCATTGCCCCACCGAACCTCGAAGTCAAATGTCGTGACAGTGCCGACCTTGTTCATAGCGATAGCTACGATTGCGATATCCGCTGCAGTGCTGACGGTCGCGAGAAGCGCTGCAGCTCCTGTCCACACGAGACTACATATTGCAAATGCATGGATGCATGAGAAGAGTGCCGGCAGCAATGCGAGAAGGCTGAGTGCAGCACAGATGGGATGCAGCACGAGAACAACGACCAGCCCCTTTAATACGATTTCGAGCAGTTCGGTTTGGCCAGTCAGTGCGAGAATCCCGGGATCGACCTCATAGCCAAGTCGAGGGTTCGAGCATTCGCCATTGTTAGTGAATAATGTTGGAAGCTCAAGAACGCTATGTCATCGTTAGACCCGAATATTTCCTTAGGGAGTGAATCGACACACCTTGTTGCGCAATAACCCCATACTCCAAATCGCAGCTGTGTAGCGATGCTCGTCGGCACTATCTCATCTGTTCTGGTAGACACGACGGCGAGTAGGTACACAGGCTTGATGATTGGAAGCGACAGGGCGACAAGGAGTTGCAAAATAAAGGCGGCCAGCAATAAGAGGGTAGCAGCGACTACTAGAACAGTGTACCTCTTTCTATGATGGCGATGAACGCGTTTTTTCGTCTTTTCGGCGAGGAACGCTTTCCCATAGAATGCCATTCCCCTGGTCGGCGTCCTGCTGGAGGGATGAGAACGTCGTGGGCGACAAAAGGGGTTGGCTCATCGTAGTGTTATAAAAGGAACGTCTTGGTAGAAGGCGTTCTTCGCACGACTTACAATGGCCCGTCAATATTCATAAAATATTAAATCGCCTTCTTTTCTCACACAAGTAGGCTAATTGGGTATGCATTATTGTTGTAATACTGGTGGTACTACAACGTGTCCTCCGAAATTAGTATCTGCAAAATGAGAGAGGTACGGCCGCAACGGGCCTCCTAGGCTAATGCTAAAGGTAATTAAGCTGATCGACGCTACCATATCTGGAGATTGATCGACATCTTGTATACCATATAAAGTAAAATCAGCCATCTTATTTCAAACCGTGGCACTTTCTGTTATTACCACCAAGAAATCCGCCGAAACGGCACTTCACTACGAGCCCAGGCGCCAAATTTGATTAATGCTCCGCCGAACGTTAGTCAGTGGGATCTCATAGCAATGTTGAGCTTGGTGCCACATTTTTTGCATGTACGAATCCTGCCTACGATGACACTACGAAAGGACGAAGGGGATCAAATACTCACGCAGATCAGATCTCTTGACAAGGTTATACACTGTAACAAATTAGAATGATCTTCACTATAGTTGCTCTCTCCTCGAGTATACCTATAACTAGGTCGGATTGTGCACTCAACAAAAGAATCTCTTTTGTAGCATACCAATTACCATAGCTTGAATACAAAGTAGCTTACCTTACTTGTCTTGCCCCACAACCTCCTTTTGTCACTTGTTTGCTATAGTATATATGCCACATCAGGACAGCATAGTTTTACACAACTTTGCCATGTATATAGATGTAGTATATTGCTCCGTATCGCTCGAAAACATGCCACTCCCTTTGTACTCTCATCTACCCGCTCATGCCCCATGACCAGAAGAAATTCTATTCCCTAATTGAAATTCTCACAAATCTGAAATGTGTACAAGCAACAACTGGAGTAATGTCTAATGGAAGCTGGACTCAGAAACCATTGCTGTCCATCTTAAGAAGCTGTGGTGGCGGATCACACTCAACTGTATGGGTATGCTGAGAAACTGTTTTGATTAATTCCTTTGGTAGCATCTATGTCATACATCTTATCATCCTATTTTCGTGCTATCAATTCTTTGCTTAAGATTTATTACAATACTGACATTAAACAAAGGAAGTACAGTTACACAGAAGCGAAAAACACGAGTCTGTAAAGGACAAAAAATACGCTACTAAAATAATCATAAAGAAGAACGGAAACTACTATTTTAATATGGAGAAAAGAGTTATACAAGAGGCCAAGCTTTTAGTAGAACTCAAGCACCCGCACGTAGTATGTATAATGTTTTATAGTGGTACCTGTAATATACACTGCTAACAAGCTCCTGCTTATTCAAAGATCAAATGCTATGGTGCTTTTGAACATGCTGCAGCTTGGGTTATTATATATAAATTGGCAACTGAAACCTTAGCTGAACGACTCAGAAAGGTAAAACGTTTCGAAGAAAGGGAAACTCGAGGCTTTATCAGGTGAAGAAACTTCGACGATTAATTAACAAGGGTTGTGCCTTTTGACTTACTGCAAATAATTAGACAGCTTATCAAGGGGCTGGCCTATATGCACTCGAAACACATTCTACATGGCAATATACAGTGAGTTCTGAATGTACTTTGAAACGAATCATTCAGACTCTTAGCACGCATGTTCAAGGCCGGATAACTTATTATTAATGCCTCGTTCCGGAAAGAACTCTTCGAATTCAAGAGGAGAGGATTTTGACATTATCATTGCTGGATTTGGTTTGTAAGTTGCGCCTTCTTTTATGACATTCTGAATTTCTGAGTAGCTTTCCTTTAAATTATATTCTTTTCAGCGCAGCCGAGGTCACTTTGGGTCAGTTCCGAGAAAACATGTATGCGAGGCAGAAGCAAGGGTATATGGCGCCGGAGCAATATAGTGATATGTTCAACGTTGCAAACGACATGTGGTCTGCAGGGTGAGAGTGGCATCTCCAGAGTCCCCGCTATAGGCAATATTAACTTCGTGCATTCGATATTAGTGCTATTGCATATACCTGTCTAACCGGGTCCGATATCTTCGGAGATTTCAAAAGTTACTGGAACATTACGCAAGATATAGAGGAAACAATCCAGGAGTTAATCACAGGTGCAAACGCAATTTATTATATTCAGCAACTACTAGAGGAAATGAGGATTCGCTGTCATATACCTGGTCTTGGTGCGCTGAGTATTGCAGTGCATAAACTGTCATAGTTGTTGATATTTAATCTGTATTGAATATTTAGGGAAGGAATTCCTTCAGCAATGCTTGGAGAAGGATCCAAAACAAAGATTGACCACAAGGCAGGCTTTGGGCCATAAGGTAAGTCTTAATTGCCAACATTTCGTATAAATCAATTTCTATAAATCCGTGCACTTACCCTCCCTCTCCTTCAAGTGGTTGAAAAGGGGCGAGAGCAAAGGCGAGACAAACCCTACTCCTGTGCACTCATTGAACAAGAAGAAGCTGGATGAACCTGCAGGCACTAGAGAATTAAAGGTGGACAAAAGTTCCAGTTCAAGGAGAGGCTATGGATCAGGATGGGTCGCGGCTTTCACAAGACGCGGAGACAGTCAGAGAACTCATAGCACGATTGCCAAAGAGTCTAACATGCAACCGGAAGGTCGAAAAAGGCCATGGAGCCGTCGGCAAGACCGCTAATATCAAGCATCTGAGCTGCTCTGCACCTCCTATTTTATAATCGTATACCCTAACTTGCTGTTGCAAGTGACCATTCAGTATACCTCGATACAAACCACGACGCATACCAGAAGCATACTCGATTAACATTAATACGATCTGAGCAACAGGAACAGTCAGTGCTTTCCGATGACCGAAAACGAAAACTAATAGAATAGTCTAAAGCTACAGTATATGTCTGCCGAGTGGTGTTATTGCAGTATTACGGATCTTCATCCTTTGGGCCCTTCTTAATACTATCCACGAACGTCTTGAATACATTCCTCACAAGCGTGAACGGTGTACCGTCCCGAACCATTCCCCATGTACGAATTGCAAGTTCCTTCTGATGGCCGTTCTCGAAGCTCTCGCGAACGACACTAAGGACTTTCCAGGTTGGGGAAAGGGTTTGCTGTGCGTACTGTCCAACGGGGAAACGGGTTGGTATTCGCATAAGGAATGATTCCTCTCTGATAATATTAACAACGTTGAATTAGTACAAATAAAACTATAGGTCTAAATGAATAAACATACGCAGTATTGGGGTATGGATGTCGTAATGGAGCGAGTTGACCGTCATGTTCCAGTCCTTCAGGCACCACAGCAGTCGGTTCGTGGCCTTCCCGTTCGCGCATCTGAGCCTCACTCTCAGCCCAAGCTCGTTCTTCCTGTTCCTTCATTCGCACCCACTCCGCTTGTTTCTCTAAATCAAGCATCATCAGATCCATCTTCTCCTGCGCTGCCCATCGACTCTTCGTCATCCACACATACCAACCCTCTTCCCAGTATTTCTCGTCCCTTTCTTTCCCCATTCCCATTCCGCCGTCGTGTTCTGTGTCGTCTCCGAATAGACCTCTCTGGCCTTCTGGTGGCAACGGGTATTTCAGTAAAGGACCCTTTCCAGTGGATGTGCGTGAGTGGTGTGCCGCATCATGTGAGAAATGCGATGTGATCTGTCTAACTTCATGCTCGAAGACTCGGCGAATGCAGACAGATCGACACCACGGATCTTGACCCTCGTTCCGTCCACGTACTGTCTGAGAGCACCAGGTGAGGCAGCGTTCGTCTACTTTAGGCGAGTATTTCCCTGAGGATATCATAATCATCAGTTCGGATATCTTAGAATATTGCCAAGACCAAGGATGGAGCGAGTTATGGGCACGGACGAGAAGGGTCTTCCGTGATAATCCAGAGGACAATCTTTTGTCTACAACCTGCAATGCGAAGGACATCAGACATACCTTGTGCAGGACGCTTAACCTGTATTGGGCTCATAAAAGCGTCTATCCACCATTTCTGTTGTTGCGGCCTCTCAGGTTGGTGCTTTGGAGGATTCGGATCGACCAAGCCGACCATCGGATTATTAGTTTATAGTGAGACTGAAGTAGCTGAGGATGTGACGAAGATATATCGATTGAGTCGAAATGCGGAAGCCAAGCCAAGAACTTGGAGTAGACAAGGGAATAGGATAGGTAAAGATGTGGTCCAAGGTGAGGAGTAGTTCTCGTCGTCACAGCGTCAGGACGTCTCATTATATCACGTGACCTCGTATTTCTAAGCTAAGCTAAGAATAAATTTGATTTTTTTCCCCAACCATCGCCTGGTTCTTCACCGTCACGCCGACTAAAGGATCGCTATCGCAGCACACATACAGAGGTACTCTCTACCTTTTCTTCTGCTGTGGGGAAAGTCTCCGGAGGTTTGCAGAGGGTCAACACTTGCCTTCACCATGCTTGGGAAAGCCTTCGTCTTCAAGCATGACGAATTATGGGGCCGGTTTGCGGGGTCAGATTTGTTCGCAACTGTTGTCTAATGTCATTAGACGTTGTTGGACTCCTGCCTGCACCCTCTGCACGTCGGTCCGGGTATGTCTGGGAATGGCAGGGCGAAGATATGAGCACTGTCGTTTTTATTAACTAGACAGCCGTAAGAGGTCGACACTTGGTTGCTCATGAACGTAGTTATGCGGTCCCGAGACCCGCAAGGGCTTGGAACACAATGGGGCTTACTCTTGGTCGGCGCCTTAATAATTTTTGTGCTTCATCTGCTTCGCAGATACTTTATGTCCTCAGGTGTCGATGGTTTGCTCGCCATGAATTCGTGTATTTGAAGTAAGTTTTTCTTGTAATTTTATTGGTATTTGGATGATGCCCCTTCTTTCGTTGATTGAATTTCTTCAGGGAGTATACCCAGTCGCTCACGTCTGCGGGCGTGCTCCAGATCTTGACACCTCTGATACTTACATGCAAATTTTTAATATTTATCTGTTCATTCGCTGCTTGAAATCCTGATAACCTTGCATTTACAACAGGTAACGATCAGTCCATCGGTCTGGAATATCTTGCGTGAGTGCAGTTACCCTTTAGACCTTCGTTGTATATTACCATCTTTGTACATGATGAACATCAACCGAATGCAATTAGGAAGTGCCGTCTGAAGCTTCATGCATTGTCGAGACCCGGTTCCCTGATCTGTCTTACTCTCTCTTTCAGTCATTCGTGCTGCTTGTTCCAGTAGTTCTGACGATGCTTGACTTCGAATTTATAGGTCATACTTACATACGATCAATGCTAACGGGCCCGAAGAAGATAATAGGGCATCTGCGGTTGTACTTGGTTTAATTATCCTTGTATCGTAGCAGTAGAGAAGAATGTGTGATTCGACTTTGATGCGATCCTATGAAGTCTATTGTTGATTTCAATTTTAATTACATTTAAATTACTTCAGGTCATGTGATGTAGATCCTGTACGTAAGCAGAAGGCGTGCACGCCTAAATCGCGTGTGCCAGTCACCACACCAGGATGTGTGTGCTCTGCTCCCGATAGCTTAGCTTAGAACCCCCCTCCATCGTCGTCTCTCGTCAGACGGCGTACATCGAGCAGAGAGAAATGAAGCGCGTCATGTCCGGACGGGCGCCTTCTCCAACGAACACGACATATTCTGGCATCTCCAACTACCGCTCCGACCAGTACAGGCCGCTCCGCGAAAAGAGCAGGACTCCTTCCGGCCCTATTGACCCCAAGGCAATTGCTAAGATCCACTATGAGGAAATGGCCTCTTATTTGGAGAATCACCTGGCTAAAGGTACGCTTGACGTTGTCGTTTGGGATGAGGTCATGAATTGATCATTATGTGTGATCCCACAGAGCCTGCGAATGCACGAGCATCTGCTCGGGAAAAGCTGACTCGACTAACTCGTCAGCAGTTCCAGGAGCTTTCGACTGATGTATATGATGAACTTCTCAGGAGAAAGAATAATGCAGATAATGAAGGTATGCAGTACCACTTATTAATGCGACTTGATGTGGGTGACCCCTCGAAATGGCGTATGCACCTCCGGAGGCAATTGACTTGCCTATAACAAGCGAATATATTTTTCAATAACTTTATTCCTCTTACTGACCACTTTCTATTCTCGTTTGTATTTGTAGTTCCTTTCCTGCCGGTCAGGGACGACTTCCATCCAAAGCGCAATCAAGCCCGTCAGAAACTTGCAACCTTGCCAAAGGCACGCTTCAAGGACCTAAGTGGTGATGTTTTCTATGAGCTTGGACGACGATATCCAGAATTCAGAGAGCCTGAGGTATGTCTACTCTAGTTTGATACAAAGACATTACTTCAGTCGCCGTTTTAAAATAAATGATATTGATTATTTTCTTTGCTTTTGTAGATCCTGCAAGATCCCACTTCTCCTACGTCCAACTACGACGACTTAGACATTCCTTCACCAGATTTCCCTCAAGCTTCCAAGAATGTACCAATGCCCCGCTCTGTCCCCACTGACAGTGGGTATGCCGGAAGTAGCCGTCGTCCAAGTGAGGATTCCTATCGACGACCAAGCGAAGAAGGCTTCCGCAGGCGTCCGAGTGAAGATGCATATGGGAATCGGAATGACGATGGCTATAGCGCGGTTCGGCGACCAAGTGAAGATAACTATGGTTCTTCACGCCGAAAGCCATCCCAGGACATTGTCTCAAACTTGCGTGGTGATGAGCGCCGACGTCCATCCCCTGATATCACTTTGACTGGTCGCAGGTCGGGAGAGGACGACCGTGAACTTGCTCGTCGACCGTCAGGCTCTATATCTACGACGTCTGATTCGACAAACGCGACAAACGCACAACGCGAAGTCATCATCCCAAACAAGAGCACTATTACCGAGGAAGAGATTGAAGTCCCATATGCGCGTGAACGTGAAAGTTCCAGTACGGCGGTTGGCGGGCGCAATTCACGAAGTCCTGATGTCCGTGACCATAGCCCTGATCAACGGGGCGATACGGATGGAGAAGGCATCACTGACTCAAGCGCTCGTTCACCGCAGTTAGAAGTCAGTGGACTTGGAGGCCTTAGCGGCTTGACAGCCCGTCTACGTGAAAGGACTCTAGATGAAGATGACGAAGACTGGTCGGGCCAGGGCCGTAGCGGTGAGGAATACTTCGACAAGATGTCGTTCGGAAGGGCGAGCGTTGCTTCGGATCGTTCGGCGAGCGGAGGGCCTGGACAATCATCACGGGTCTCTACGTCGATGAACAGTGGTCGTATGAGCAAGACTGGTGGTTCATTCGACGTTGACGTCGAAGCGCTGAGGCGCGAATACGAATACAAGATCGCAACGATGCAGAGTCGCATAACTACTTTAGAGAGATCGGTTGAAGATGCTGAGGAGAGAGGGCGTCGGTTCGCGAAGAACGATAAGGATGAGAAGACTAAGGTTCTTGAAGAGGAGATCAAACTTCTCAGAGAGGTGCAGTGATCTTGCTGATATACGATATCCCATCAATCTCTAACTTGCAGTTACAGAAAGAGGAAGAGCGGGAAGCAACTATTAGAGAGCTGAAGCGAGAGCTCGATGAGGAGCGTCAAGACCGGACGGAAGAACGAGAAACGGCCTCCAATTTACATAAACGGGGTCAAGAGGAAATCCAAAATTTGCGTATGCGTTGTGAAACTTTAGAGGCAGAGCGCGTAGATATGGGTTCTGGCGTAAGTCATTATCTCCAACAGGTGTTTTTTGATAATGCTCAAGGTCTTATTATTGTTTTGCGTAGGTTGATGCTGAAATGGTCGAACAATTGCGTTCAGACTTGGAAGGCCTTGTTTCCGAACTTGCGGAGCTGTCTCATCGCAATGACGAGTTGATGATTGCGAAGGAATCTGACTTGTCTGTGATTCATAATCTCGATGTACAGCTTAAGGATTACAAACGCAAATATGAGACGGCCAAGACAGAGCTCCGAAGCTTCAAGGGCACGTTACGAACGATTCCTAGGCTCGATTAGCTACTGATTTAACTTGTTTACTTATACAATATAGCTACATCACAGATGTTCTTGAAGGCCACGAAACCCGAGCCTGACCAACTACCTATGTCCCCCGATGGTGGGATTCTTGACATTCACCTCACTGCATTCGTTACTGCAACCGACAACCTCCTTTCTGCTGGTCGTTCTAATGCGCCTAGTCGTGTGCTCACGCCAATGAAAGCCGTCATTAACTCCGTCTCAGCTATCCTCGACGATGTCCGTGCCTGTGAGAGGCGACAAGAAATGGGTGGTGACGTCGACGGGGTAGAGCAACTCCGTTCTTTACGCGAGCGCACTGAAGCAACGTTGAGCAACCTCGTCGCGGCATCGAAGACTCATGCAACTAGCATGGGCATGTCACCCGTTAGTCTTCTCGACGCAGCGTCTAGTCACTTATCAGCCTCTGTCACTGAGCTCGGGAAGACGTTATCGATACGAAAGGCAACGAAGGCGGAGCAAGAGCAATTCGAGACGCAATTTACCTCCGCACCGACGAGTCCTTACGGGTCGAATGGATTTGTACCAATGTTGAAGTCTATTGGAGAGATTAGGTCTTCTTCCGCTTCTTCTTCGCATCAACGGGCTGGTTCGTCGGCGTCAGCATCCGGGTCGGCATCACGTAGAGCCAACGAGTCGCCTTCTCCCGTACCTTTACGATTCCCTCCTGAATTAGCGTCATCCGTACAATCACCTTCTCAGAACCCTTCATTGCTCAGCAATCCCGTAAGAAGACGACCGATGTCGCCTTCGAGTTCAATTGGAAGCTCGCCTCCGCCGTTGTTTGACCAGACGAGGTCGAATGCTACTGCTAGTGATGATAGTGCACCTGCTGAAGGACCTGATGAAGCATGGGCTGAACTTAAAGTGGGTTTCCTCTAAATCATCATTGCTTTATCCTTTCGAATAACGTGTCTACTCTTAATAACAGCCATACTTAGAGGCGCAATCAGAATCCATAGTCTACGCCATCCAAAACGTCCTTTCAGGCGTTCGAAGCCCTACACCATCACCGCTTCTCAGTGAGAATCTGACGCAAATCATCACGATCGTCTCCAGTATCGTCGCAGTGTGCAAAGACAGTCTACCATCGTCTTCAGCACAGGCTGGCGGCGAGATACTGCGAGAACTGGGCGAACATGCGAACCGGCTGAGTGAGGTACAGAGTTTGCAGGAGGTGACGAAGGAGTCGAGGCAGACGATGGCGAAGTCGAGTTTCGCGATTGCAAATTCTATGAAGGGGTTGATGAAACTTGGATGACTTGTATCCTGTGATATGGCTCTATGCAATATGGTAACTATTGGATGCTCATGAAGCCCGTAGTTTCAGCAACCTTTCTTGTTCTGTTCATTTTTCTCGTCGATCATGCTCCATCATGAATACGTTCATGTTTTCTTTTCTTTTTCTTTTTGGTCTTGTCTTTCTTGACATTAATATATAGTAATATGGTCAGCACTAAATACGTGATAGCACTTTACGCTTTTTTGACGTCGATTACGCATGACCGTTTATGCAGTATCATGATGATGTATCTTTTTTTGTTTGTATACCATGCGTCGAACCTACACCAGTTGTCAGACGTTCCTTATACCCTCCCTCTCTGCAAGGTAGATGAGAACTATAGATGTAATACATATCATCTTTTGGTATTGTGAAGGCGTGAAAGTATTAGTTCAGGGATAAAGTGGAGGTGGAGGCAGCAGTGATCTAGTCCTTCTTGAGTGCTGCGGCTTCGCGTTCTTTCTTGCGCAGAGCACGGCGTCGGATATCTTTGTGCAAATCTATGAAGATAGAATATACAGTTAGCAAAGAGGATTGAAAAAATGAGTATTAGAGCGTACTAAGGGTATAAGCGATGAATCCAGCTTTCCATCCAACAGCATTGATGAAGTAATCAAGGAGAGAGTGTGACCAGTACGGGGTTGACGTTGATGGGCGACCTTTATAAGTGTATATATGTATTAGAGAAATCAGATACGGGAGGAAAGGATGAAAAGCCCTGCCTGTCCAAAGTGCTCCACATGGAAGGCCGATCTTTCTGAGGACGGACGACACGTACGCCTTTGGCATGGGGATCATGATGGATGAGCGGCGGATACGGGACATGTTGCTAACCTAAGAGATTAAAAATCCATCCTTAGTTATATGGCTGAGGTCGGGTGTGGTGATAGCACTTACAACGAAATACGTCGAAACGCATTCCACGTCTATCCCGGTTCCATTTAACTCAGCTTGCAGTGCATCGGACCAAGTCTGCAGGAATGCCTTTGTAGCTGAGTACGTCGCGAGGAGGGGAGAGGGCGTTGCTCCGGCGAAGGAAGAAAGCGTCAAAATAAGACCTCGGCGCCTTTGCATAACAACCATACGTAAAAAAGGATCGCCAGAGAATTGAAGTGAGTAGCCTGGCTTACTGCTGAAGCATGTTCTTCAAAACGATCTGTGTGACACGAAGAGTAGCTTTGATGTTGATGCCCACAATACTTTGTTGTTCGTCAAGAGGTGTCTCTACGAACGAGACTGGGAGCTCGTGCGATCGTCCGACGTTGTTCACTTTCATTGGCATCAGGATAGACACCGTTTCAACCTTCAGTGACGCACGTACCCAGTACTCCGATATCCAGACCAGCACAGGCACTGGCAAGGGCCTTGTAGTTCGTTTCGCTAGCTGCAGAGAAGTCTATCGCAATCGTCTTCGTCTTCACTTTTGTTTGGGCCTCTAGAGAATTCGCCATCCATAAGTTCGCATTCCTATTTGTAACTCGAAGAACAAGCACCTATTTCGCTGGCTGTCAGCTTCAATTTCTCCTCTGACCGGCTGGCAATGACGATGTTGAAACCGCGTTTTGCGAGCTGCAATGCGAACTCCTTTCCAATACCGTCAGTTGCACCGGTGATCACTGAAGTATATCAGTTGAGTTGAAATGTAAGCATGACGCGTTGGGTAACATACCTGCCCATGATCCTGACCCGGAACGCGACATGTATTTTTTCAGCTAAATTTGCTCTTAGTTTGGTATACATGGGGCAATGTAGAAAGAAAGAGTTGCACACCGATTTTCCGGGAAGAATAAATGTCTGCAAGAAGACACTAGTGGTTTTCGCAGCGAACTTCGCAAGTGTGATGAGCCCAACGGCTAGAACTACAGCTAGCCAGAGCCTGGGCATCACTTTAACAGCACGTTTGAGCCAATACATATAGGATAGGTTGGAAAGCCTTTTACTTTGTACATAAGCCATCAGCACTATTCTGTCCGCACAAAGGGACACGACGAGAAGCAGGTCGAGTAGAACGTCAACGCGCAAGAGACATCGTTATTGACACCAAACGCGTGCACGTGACACGGCATGAAGGGCGCACGCTGCAAATACCAAAAAATTGGCGAAAATTCAGTGATTTACAGTGGCATGTTACACAACAGTCTCCCTGTTAGGTTAATTAGTGGGTAAGTCCAGCTCTACCTTTGTTGTGTCCATGCCTTCCAAATCTCTTCAACCATAAAGGTGGTTACTTTGCCCATTTAATTAACCAAACTGAGGAGATTATACTAAGAGTAACAGTAATTCCTAAGATACAATATCCTCCTCCAGCAAAATATATCAGAGTCATTGTTGGTTGTAGGCAAGACAAATGTAGAAAAAGGTTGGTACAGCTTCTAAGGATGTTGTTGAGAGGAAGAACTTAAGGGGGGCACGCATAGACAAGGGGTGAGGTGACGATTGAC